TTCCCCTGGAGAAACCCAAGACCAGGGGCAGACCATCCAAATATTACCACCCCCTACTACAAAAAGAGAAGATCCTAGATTCCATTGTTCGTAGAATTCTACCGAAGACCATTGCAGATTCCGTGAGCCCTACAGGTTCCAGATTGGCACATTTATATGGGTTGCCAAAAACCCACAAAGAACCATTGGCTATGAGGCCTATATTATCAGCCACCGACACGTACAACTTTCCCCTTGCTAAATGGCTCGACGAGAAATTGAAGCCCTTGTCCCTTAATCAGTATACAGTTACTGATAATTTTGATTTCACAAAAGAGATTCACGAGCTGAAGATCAACAAGGGTGAAATCTTGGTTTCGTATGATGTCTCCTCGTTATTCACAAACGTGCCTTTGGACGAAACAATAGAGATCTTGGTTAACAGAGCCTTTTCGAACAATTGGTTCAATACTACCCACAATCTTGCCCTTACCAGAACAGATCTTATTGACCTCCTAAACGTAGCCACCAAAGGCCAACTATTTCAATTTAACGGAGCTCTATACGAACAGACAGATGGCGTTGCTATGGGGTCCCCTCTCGGGCCCTTATTAGCAAACGTCTTCATGTCATCCATCGAAGATACCCTTGAGCGACAAAGAAAACTCCCATCCTATTATCGTCGATATGTTGATGATACACTCACTGTAATGCCTGATCTAGCAACAGCAACTACCTTCTTGCATACCCTCAACAGCGCCCACACTTCGGTCAAATTCACCATGGAGGTGGAGAAGAACAGCAAGCTTCCTTTCCTTGGCACCGAACTACTCAACCATGCACCTCGGATTGAAACCAAGGTATATGTGAAACCAACAAACACGGGCCTACTATTACACTACCAAAGCCATGTAGACAATCGCTACAAACGGAGCTTGCTGAAAACTATGCTGGATCGCGCACACCGATTATCTTCCTCCTGGGCCCATTTCTCTGATGAGTGTGATCGCCTAAAGAAAGTTTTCGCACGGCTTAAATACCCGGAACGCCTGGTAAATTCTACCATTAACACCTTCTTACAATCAAGAATTGTTGGTACGCAGCCCACACAGACGCCCAAAGAACCAATATCCATTGTTCGTGTGGTCATACCTTTCAAAGATCAGGAATCAGCAAATTATGTTAAGAAAGAGCTCAAGAATCTTAGCATGAAGGTGCAGACAACTGTCCAGCCAGTATTTGTTAGCCGCAAAGTTGGCCAAGATCTTAAAGTACGAGAAATCAAGCCACAGATTGTCAACCAACAACGCGTCGTTTATCAATTTCAATGTGACCTGTGTGATGCGGGTTATGTGGGCTATACACGCGGACACTTACACACACGCGTGGATGGACATAAACGAAAGGCATCTTCAATATATAAACACTACCACGAACGGCACAGCGAAGTCCCGAAAGACCTACTGAAACGTTTTAGCATTCTGAAAAAGTGTAGTAACAAGTTCGATTGTTTGGTGAACGAAATGCTTTTCATCAGAGACTTAAAACCCACTCTGAACGTGCAAAGCGATTCAATTCGCGCAAAAGTATTTGTTTAATTAGCTCGTAACATATTTATGCTAATTTAGTGTTACACCTTGCCACAAACTTCATTTTTTATTTCTCCTTGACAATGGCGTCATGATGACACCGAAACGTCGGTTTTTATCGTTAGTTTTTGCTAGTCTTTGGTATCTCTTTAACCTATAAAAAAATATTCTCAAAAATAAAATTCGATTCTGACGCCTCTTCATCCTAAAATCGAGCTTTAAAGTTCCCGCTTCGGCCACGCCCAATGAAGTTCACCACGTCGGGAAAGATTGGTGATGAGTGACGTCACTCCAGGAGCGTCTCGAACGTCGTGTTGCAACTTTGCTTGACAAACCCAGTACTTTTACAACACATCTATCAGGCATATTTATGTCGCCGAAAACTCTTTACCTTACTGAAACAAACAGTGAAATGAAACACTGGCGGGATTTGGCGCGTTCCTGACTTGACGTCACGACCCATTCTGAACCCAATCTCTTTTTTGCCCCGACTCACAGTCACCTTCAATGGGCGTGGCCAAAGCGGGAAGTTTAAAGCTCGATTTCAGGGCGAAGACTCGTGAGAATACTTTTTTACATGTTAAATGCATACCAAAACTATAAAAACCTTGTTGGCCGTATAGACACTTTATACGGCACTACAAAAAGTTTATTATCGGAACACCTTTGACATCTAGTTTCGACCCATAACTTACATGAATGGTTAATTGTATACATAAGTTGTGGAGTAAGTTAAGTAAATTTAGATCGCAGAATCTATGGTCAAGAGAGAACTAAATCGACAGAGTGTTTACAACTCTCAGACTACGTTGGCTTGGATTTCATGAGTTGCATGTAAATAAGTTTCTTAGATTTAGATCAGGAAAGTATTGTTTATTTCATGTTGCTGACATCTGATCCACTTTGAAATTTTGTAGTCTCTGTTTCTGCTGGCTTTTAGATTAAAATCACTCATTTTTCTTACTCAACATCTGTTACTCCCACGGGTTAATAGATATCAGTGACTAAATTGAACGCAGGTGATATTCAAATCTGTGTCTCTTTCACCCAGGAAAAATGTGGTTTTCTATGAAGTCAACATCCATCATAGATAAAGGAGATGTTGTAATTATAAAAAAATTTAACATGTCTGCGAAAAAAAAGAACCTTGTCTTCAAATATTACTTTCTGTAGGCAAAATTATTTATTGGAAAACAACTTTCTGTTCAATATATGCTATATTAGTCAAAGCAATGACGCCATCACAGAATGTTGGCGGAGAATAACAAAGGGATTCCTTGGGAAAAGTACATGGGGAAATTTCCTCTCATAAAGTGATGTTTGAGCTCCCTGTCGATGTAATCTCCGATATGTACAATACCAGATCCATTGATTTGATTAAAGCCTACATTAAGTGTGTCACCAGCCTCTTAAATCTTACAATGAATAATAACATTCGCACATTGGTGTGTGGTTTCCATTTATCTTCAGTATAAAAAGCGCCTGAACCAACCTTTGTATTTTAATCTTTGTCGTGTTGTGCTTCAAAAAATGTATATTTACGTTGGTGTGTTGGTCGCACATTTATCCATTTATCCATTTATCCATTTATCTTAAGTATAAGAAGCGCCTGTACCAACCTTTGTATTTTAATATTTGTCGTGTTGTGCTTCAAAAAATGTAAATTTACGACGCGCGACTATAAAATTACCGAATTTACCAGCTGCATTTGACCTTCACTGTATGAATTTCCTTAATGCACCAAACAGCGAAGGAAATTCAAAGAATTTGTTTATTGCGTAAACGAAAACAACAGAGAATGTTCAACAACACTTTAACTTCGGGAGTTACTGACCAAACTGAGAGAGACTCCATTTTCAACGAAAATGACAAAATTTCCGATAATAGAATGATTGCAAAGGTGTCATATGGAATAATTGGGGTTCTCGCCTTCACCAGTAACTTGGTGTTTCTTGTCGACTTGAATCGGAAAAAGAAGAGCCTAAGAACCTGTTATGATATATTGATAACCAGCTTGGCAATCGCTGATATGCTCACGGGTAAGAAAACTAGCGTGTATTGTGTTGTTAGAATCCGTAATTCTAAAAATAGTAACCAGTCCAGACTCATCATCGTTTTAGTGGTGATGGTAAATTTGTAAGAAACTGATAAGTATTAAGAATTTCATTCCTTGAAAAATTTATTTTTATTTAGGAAAAATTAGAGATGTTACATTCACAGTAAGATGATTTTGGATACTGAAAGGAAACTCTTTTCATTTATCACGTTTTCCTCTATTTCCTCCTTTTTATTCTTACTCATGTATGAATGAGGAAGGCGGAATATTCATCCTCATTTCTTCTTGATAATGTTTCAGGTCTGTTTATAATAGTCACACCCAACTACGTCATAAGCATGTCTATGTACTCAGTACCAGAGGGCATAGCCGGTGAGGTATTTTGTCGAATCATATTTTCTAAATTCTTTATTTTTACCTTTGGAAAAGGATCGGTGCTTACTATCACGTGGCTCGCCGTCGAGAGATGGTTCGTCTTATTAAAACCATTACACTATCAAAAGACCTTTGCTCAGCGGAAACTCGTCAAATACATTGGTTGTATCTGGTTTGGCTGCGCTTGCCTGCAGAGTTATAAGCTATTCTACGTAAAGTACTTCCAACGTTCATGTTTTTTCATTTCTTTGCCTCTCGCAAAGAGTCAGGAGACTGCTCTGATAATAATTTACGTGTCTCTCACGTTCTTCCTTCCGACTCTTATCACATGGGCCGCCTTTCTTCATATATTTTTTGAAATAAAGAAGTCTAACGCTCTCAAAGAAAATCGAGGAAAAATAAACAAACGTCGGTTACTTAGGATGTGTGCCATTATGTCTCTAATGCTGACAGTTTGTTGGTTTCCAACAGAAATTTGCTATTTGATAAACCAGTACGGATTTCCTATTCTAAACTTTGGTACTCCTTTTCGCGAGTTTACAGTAGCGCTTGCTCTGGCAAATTCATCTTTGAATCCTTGGATCTACGTTATGTCTAACAGAAAATACAGACGAGCAGTAATGACATTCTTTGCTCCATGTTAGCAAGATAACAGTCACATATGATACATGCGATTCGAACCACGAGTGTCTGTTGATGGTGCATCTGACCCAGAAGTAACTTTCAACGGTTTCAGTTACAAGTTAGAGCGGTTTGACAAAGAAACAACACAAAACCTGCAAAATGATAATAATAACATGAATCACCTGCTGCGGAAGAAAAAAAATAACGTTGTAAATAACTTTCAGATATAATTAAGTGCAATCATTACTTGTAGTTGTAGTATTTTTCAGTGGTAAAACAATCTTCATCATCATATGAACAAGGCTGTTAAAAGCGTTAATCACAGATTAGCATCCGTGATTTTCGTGGCGGAAAAACAGCAAGAAGGGAACAGGGAAATGTTGGCGTGATAGCAATACGTTGAGCCTTGCGTGACAAACGCTTGAGTGTGTTACATAAACACTAGTATCAGTTCACTGCCCGCCTCGAACGTCTTCGGCAAATAACTGTTGACATTGTAACTGTTGTCAAGTTGGTTCGACATTAGTGACGCGTAAGATCAAAATGCCTTTATAGTACCTCGTGCGTTGTTGCTTGAGAGAGAGTTAATGCGAAAGAGTTATCTGCGAAGTTAATTTCTGCGTTCATTTGCGACTTCTATTCAGGCCTACAGAGAGGACAATCGGCAAGCGTATTTTTCTCTCCCCTCGTTGATTTCGTTTTATCATTTGATCGATTATTCTAAGGTGTTTGCGCGCTCGTCTTTTCTTGTATTGTTATGTAATAATTATTGCAGTAAATGGTTTGAACCCAGGGGTAACATGTGAAAGTGTAGTGTGATCGTCCGGGTGAGTGTAGTCCTAAGAATGACTGTTGTCGGTGGTACTGAGTGACGTTTCGACAACCTGTGCGGAAGTCATCATCAGAGTCAAGATGATGACTTCCGCACAGGTTGTCGAAACGTCAGTCACTACCACCGACAACAGTCCTTCTCAGGACTACACTCACCTGGACGATCACACTACACTTTCACGTAATAATTATTGTTTTAGCTTAGCTCCGTGTAATGTCGCTTAGACTAGGTTTTTTTGCCTGTATTTTAGTTTGACATCAGATTATTACTCCGCAATAAATCGCATTGGAATCACAGTTATACGTGTCTGTTCTCGAAATTCAGTGCATCGACGTCCTCGTGAGAACTTTGAATTGCGAAATTCCTACACTGTTAAACGCCTGCATTCACAGACATACAGGAATCTACGACTGAATTATCCGGCTATATCAAGTCCAAATTGAAGCTCAATTTTACACCAGAAAACTCGATGTGTTCAAAAATGCAAAGAAAAACAGACACAATGTGTTATTTGTAAACAATTTTGACACAGAAAACGGATACGATTTTGAAACGAAAGCACAGCTGTAACTTCCAATCTACCCTTACTTTGCAAGGTTGGCTTACTGTAATGGTTTCCTGGTCGAGTGCTATCTGCTATAAGTTGCTTGAAATTCCGGATTCAACGAGAGGGTGCTTAGTAAAAGTATTCCTTGATGTCAGAGAACGACGATCTTGAGCTTTTCACAAAATTCAGCATATTTCCGTGCGGAAGTGATAAGCTTCAATTATTCTTTATATCCCCCACCCCTCCCCACACTAATTCCACTTATCGTGAGTTAAATGAATAAAGGGGGTAGGTTTCTAAAGAAACTGTGGTGCTGCATCGGTGGGGGTAACAAGGTCATTTGGTAATATCAACTAAGTTGAAAATTGTAAATTGGCCACCGTAAAGAGTTAAAAAGCTGACGTTTCGAGCGTTAGCCCTTCGTCAGAGCGAATAACGATTCTTAGTTATACTGCATGAAGAACATGTTATTCGAAAATTTGCTACATACAATATGCGACATTCGGATTTTGAAATATTGGCAATTTTCAAAAATGGGCTGTGAGCTCAAAGTAAAATGAAGTGAGACTGTTTTAGACTTAAACCACACCTCAGTTATCTGCTTGCTTTTAGCATGCTTTCTTTCGCACTTTTTATGCAAAATACAAAGAGTTAATTGTCATATAACTTGAATACAGAGTGATGTTAAATTCACTCATCCAGATACTGAGCACGCGCGAACCATCGCCAGATGACAATTTACTGCCGAAAAAAAAAAGAACAAGACAAAAAACGCGAGAGAATTTAATTTAGAGAAAAAGTCTTTAGTTCCTCTTAATCAGACCGGCTGTTTTTGGCATGCATGTTGCCATGCTTCCCAATCTTATCATCTGCAAGGCAACCTACGCTTAATTCATACATTGATAATTAGATATTCAACTAAGTGGATAATTTTGAAAAGGGCTTCAGTGATTAAAAAAATTATTCGGCAAATTCGAGGCGACAAGCTTTTCTAGGTGTAGCAGAATGGATTTCAATATCTGGCTCTTTACTCATTGTCAACAGTATGATTTATCATTGTTTTTCATGACATAAGATATTGCGAATTGAATAACCAAAGTAAAATATTATAAATTGATAATGGTCGATGTCAAAATAATACTCATCGCTAAACATAACTTCCGTTTATTCAGTTGCCCCGAGTCTCTCCATTTTGGAACATACGCCTCTGACAGGGCATCAAATTTTTAAGTATTATCTTGTTCAAAGAATCATGTAGGACAAAAAACCTTGGGCAGTTACAAGTGTGTAGAAAAAGAAGAAATGATCGAGAAAAAAATTAATACTGGCTCAGCTGTTGATCAATCAGGATGGCAGGCGGGTAACTTTGTTTCTGAATAACACTCACTAGGTAACCCCTTATACTACACTTTATCAACAAAATCTCAGAATGATCCTCGATTAGGTTTCGGTCAAATTAACCAGATCAAAAACTAAAAAAATCGTTTCCAGTTTCGGTTCAAACGAATGTTTTCTTACAATTCTTGCCGAACAATTAGCATAACAAAGTGAAGAAAGAGCGCCACCTTCCTCCTTTTAAAAGGATTGTGTAAACAGAGCAAAACATATTACTTTAGAAAAAGCAAATTGTCCGGTGAAAGAGTTTATTCTGCACATCCGATGCTCGGGGTTAGAGCCATTTTCTTGAAAGGGGGGATCCTAAACAAATTAGTAATGAAAAACACTTGAGACATATGAACATCGCTGCTTGTAAATCGCAGATGCACATTGGAAGTGATCAATTCACGTGAGAGTAAAATCGATGGTGTTACCGTCAATACCTTGCAGCTAAACAGTTCTTACGGTAAGCTAGTTAGGCGCATTATCATTTGATCAGGGGTATGCCTATGCACTTGTATCTATGGTTAAAACTGAGATTTTCCCCTTCTTCTCATAAACAATCAATCAACTTTTCCCCTTCTTCACCATTATTCACCTTTTAAGAACCATCAAGAGATCCATAAGAATTGTGAGATATCGAGTAAAACGTTGTTCATCTATTTGACTTGTAGTCCGTGACCTCGACCCTTGTAAACAAGCGAAAGGCAAACACTCTCTGAGAGTGAAAATATATTAGGTAACATAAATTGATTTCCATAGGCATGGCAATTTTGGATGAGCGTTTGAATATCATCAGTTCATGAAAATATGGAATATTTTGAAGATTTCGTAAAAACCCAAACAGACCGAAAACTCACATAAACATTGCAAAATAACAGTTCTCTTGGTACGCGAAAATACCGAAAAAAGACGTATAAGTGAGAATGGATTGGCTTGTATCTAATTACCTTCTACAATATGTTTTTCTCAAAGCCAACTAGCTTTCTTACATAAACGCAAGACAATGGTATAGTCAATAAAAAAATTCGATTAAAAGAAGAAAATTAAAAATGCCACGGCGAATTTTATGCTCAAGGATATGCCTGAGAACAAAAAGCTGTCGTAGTTTTTCTAAAAACGATAAACTTAATTAGAGAAACAGGTGTATATCACGGTCGCTGATAGCTGCTTCATATTAAGTTATTACTTAAAGTGCACCTAAACCCAAAAATTTTTTTTCGCTTAACGAAATAAGCTTATTTTTTGGAGTATTTCTGTGCAAAAATTTTTTAATTTGCTTAAATCTTAAATTTTCTGTGCCTAGTCAAAATACGGAAAATCGGCCGCCATCTTGCCCCACGACCGAGTTTAAAGAGGAATGGCTCTAGCGGATAATGTGACGTCAAATCGAGAACACGAAAGTCTGCTTTTCACACATTTTCACTTGTTTGGGAAGGTTGTGGTCGATATTGTCCGAAATATGCCGACCAGGTGTATTGTATGAGGAATGTATGAAGCGTGATACCCTCTTGCAAATTTCGCACGTTGCTACGTTTAGGTGCACTTTAATGGCTACGGGAGGTTCGAATTCACTTGGAGATGCGTTACACTAGAATCATTGATTTCTAAGCTAACTTCAGTATCTCAGTGTTGTTTCTTATTCATTCAGCAATTCTTAATTAAGTAACATTTCCACTAAGGGACTAAATGATCCCTATTGTAGACACCTTGTCTCACTTTTTTTTTTTTTTTGCAGTAAAAAATCAAACCAACGCATTGAGGTTCTTCCTGCTTAGACTTTGAAAAAAATTATAGCCTATTCCAGGCGTTCAGTTATTAAGAAGAAGCACGATAATAAAACGGGGCCAGATAACAAAACGTAGCGCGATAGAAAAACAGAGCGTAACATCTAATAAAACGGAGCGCGATCATAATAAAACGTAGCGCCATGGTAAAACGTAGCACTATAGCAAAACGTAGGGGGGCGGAGGAGTGAAAAGACGTGGGAAGTTTTCGACGAGTCGCGTCGGCAGGGAGAAATGCCAACGATAATTAAGTATTCGCAGCTGCCCTAAGATTCAAATTTCATAAGATCATTTGATTTAGGTTAGAATTTTCATTTTACTTGGAACGTGAGCATTTGCTAAACAATTTGTAGAATATGAAAAGTGCATGTCTAAAAGGTTCTCTGGATCTGAAAATGAGAGTCATGAGAAATGCCGTCAGTTTTCTTTCATCCAAATACGCCATGTTCGCTATTTGAATGAAAGAAATTTCCATCGCCT